CTACTGGAGCAGATGAAGRTCCTTTAATCAACGAGGCTTTTAGGGAGGTGGCAGGTGGTTAGTTGTGCTAAATGATGACCCTGCTGATATTACGGTCTGAAGATGTTTGTGCTGTTACTGCTTTAATTGGCTGCAAAACGAAAGACAAAAAAAGAAGCGGTAAAAGCATAAAGTCAACTATGACCCCATAAATGAGTAATAAATAAGAGAGCTCATTTGAAGTCKTTAACTCTCAGATTTAATGCAGTTTGAGCTTAATCACATGTACACAGCATTAAACTATTCCTTCTCTTTGGCATCTCTAAGGCTCACAAACTGAAGCTGGACCACAATAACATAATACATCACATGTTGTTGGTTTTTGACTCCTCCATAAGACAAAAAACTCTGAGTAGARTCATAATCAGGGAAGGACAATTTTTCTTTTTAAATTTCCAAAAATAGTTTAAACGAGCAAATTTGAAGAAATAATGCAATATTCACGATTGCCTTTGTTGTTTACACTGGCTTCTGGTAGTCAAGTTGTTAACCAGTGCTTTTCTAGTACTTGTTTCTGGACACTCCTACCCTAACCAGTACATATCTAACCCTAAACCTATTTTATTTTGAAAGAATTAAGTGGAAACTATGGCACCAGGGAAACTCTGCTTTCCTTCTAGAATACGTGCGTCGTCCTCCTTTTAGATCCATCGAACCAGAGGAGATTAAGRAATATGAAGAGCCCGGTTAGCGGAATTAACAGCAAAACCCAGTTTCATTATAGTGTTTTCTGTCTGCATGACTTGTGGCGTATAAATTAAATTCAACAGAAGTCTTCCTCCCACTTGTGTGGAYACAGCCATTTTTTAAAGCAATAATGTGAAACAGGCAGCGGTCCTAAAATCATAAAACAGCAGCTGAGATAAGCGCTCATTAAGGTTGCTTTCTCTGCTTTAAAAACTGTTTGTTGTTGTGCTGACACTTGTGCTGTATTAATTATCCCTGCATGAGTAAAGGACAAAACAAGCAAACATTGAGAGAAGCCGGAATTGCCTCCAAAGCCCATAATGTCTCATTTTTACCACTGACCACCATGTCAAAGTATACAATAAAATACTTTTCATACATATTTTGACTCACACTGACCCTGTTGTTATATTAAAAGATAAGAGACAATGTTATACTAGTGAGGAAATAAAAAATAAAAATGAAATATTTGGTATTCTGTTAGAAGAAATGAAAACCATCTGCTTAAATCTATACCAGACCTCAGGGGAGTACATAAATACTTGTCACTGACATGTTTCCAGTTTGTTGACAACCAGTGAGCTGACCATTAAACCAATTTGGGAGGAAGCAGATTGATTTGTCCAACCCTGGGTCAGTAGGCCGGCTCCCCTGCAACGGCTTTCACTTTGAGGGCTAATTTGGCCAAACCGAAGCAGAACAGGTCCGCCCTCTTTCTGATTAAGTGCAGCATTACTCAGAGTGAAGCAAGAGATCCTGCCAATATCTCAGCTTCCTTCACGATTCTACGGAGAGCAGAAAAAATAAATAAATACCGCTTTTCTCCTGTGAGCTTTATTTTAACCAGATTGATCTGTGGTCAAAGAAATTTTTGCCAGGACAGAAAGTCTCTGACCTTTTCCCCTAAAGACTTCTTTCTTGTGCTGAACTTTAAAAGTTTATACAGAAGCTGCGAGTTGCCCTAAATTTCAGTGGCAGATAACAGCCTTATAGATAAACTCATTACGTTGCAGGAGGTCGCTTTAGTTTTTATTTTTTTACCCCCATGCTTTCGCCAAGGTCGCTCCCTGACAAGTAAACCAAATGCTACAGCATTAAAACTTTAACTGTAGATCCACAAGCAAGAAAACAGAGCGCCGTAAACAAGATACGACCGTGTGAACCCATACATCAAACCTCTCCTTGTTGGACCTTGTTTTGAAAAGACGTCTGTTTTAACTGGTTAAAAAAACACCCAAGAGAGAAGAATAAAAGATTGAAGGATAGAGAAAATGAGGAAAAACAAACAACAAAACATAAATGTGAGGTGGTAGATAAACAGGAAGAGGCAGGTAATATAAGATGGAGGATAACATTGACTCCTGGGTAGAAACTGAGACACAATGAATGGGGTCATCTCTGGCAACCAAATGTTCATGTCTGACCCGCCCAGACACCATTTTTTCCCCTCTCAAACCAGCTGTTATTCATATCTTGGAAGTTTTATCATTGTGCGTTGCAGAGTTGTAGTACTTTAGACCGGACTTAATTGACCACATTTGTACTCAGTCTTGTCTCGGACATTGAGAACTTGAGATTTTATTTCAAGACCACGACTGTGAAAATATAACTAAAATGCCAGAATATCGTCAAATTTTTTTGTTAACAACATTGCTTWCATTGCACAAAAAAAGGTAAGCTATGTCTAAGTGATGTTAGCCAYCTGCCTCTGTACCAAAATTCTTTACCCAGTCCTCTCACAGAGATTTAGTCAATATCAGCTATACTTTAGTTAGCTGTGTACAGTATATCGTATGCTTTTAAGCTACTTTTAGATTGTCCTGGTCTTGGTCCCAAGATGGTCCAGCCCCTAAAAGTCTTGGTCTTTTCTCTGTCTGGATACACTCTTGTCTTGGTTCTTGACTTGGTCCTGCCCCTAAAAGTCTTGGTCTTGTCTCTGTCTGGATACACTCTGGTCTTGGTCTCAACTTGGTCCAGCCCCTAAAAGTCTTGGTCTTGTCTCTATCTGGATACACCCTGGTCTTGGTCTCAACTTGGTCCAGCCCCTAAACGTCTTGGTCTTGTCTTTTTATGGATACACCCTGGTCTTTGTTCTTGACTTGGTCCAGCACCCAAAAGTCTAGGTATCATCTCTTTCTGGATACACTCTTGTCTTGGTCTCAAATTGGTCCTTGTCTTGGTCTCAAATTGGTCCAGCCCTAGAAAGTCTTGGTCTTGTCTCTGTTTAGATACACTCTGGTCTTGGACCCAAATTAATCCAGCCCTAGACAGTCTTGGTCGCATCTCTTTCTGGATTCACTCTGGTCTTGGTCTCAACTTGGTCCAGCTCTTGAAAGTTTTGGTCTAATCTCTATCTGGATACACACTGGTCTTTGTTCTTGACTTGATCCAGCCCGTAAATGTCTTGGTCTTATGTCTTTCTGGATACACTCTGGTCTTGGCCTCAAATTGGTCCAGCCCCTAAAAGACTTGGTCTTGTCTCTGTTTGGACACACTCTGGTCTTGGACTCAAATTAATCCAGCCCTTGGAAGTCTTGGTCCTTTCTCTGTCTGGATACACTCTGGTCTTGGTGTCAGGTTAGGTGGTCTTGACTACAACACCAGTGTGTGNACACAGAGTCCCCATTTAATGCTTATTCACAACATGTATTGCAGCGTAGCGGGAAAAAATAAATAAATCAGCCATCGTTTGAAGTGGTCTACGTTGGTTCCCCATCACTTCACCCACTCATGTCTTTCCGTCGCCCACTCCCTCTTTTTTCCCCTCACTTATCTCCCTCTCGCCCTCCAGGGATCCTTGGCCTCTCGTCTCTACCTCTGCCCTCACAAGACGCACTTATACGCTCTGCCTCTTAATCATCCTCTGCTCAATCTTTCATCCTGGTCTGACCCACAGTTGCTCAAGGCACTCCACTTCCTGTCGTCAAACCAGCTGACTTCTCTCTCTACCCCTCCCTCCACCCATCCATCGGAGGTGGAGGACTTTGATCCTTTATAGTGCAAAACACCCTTATAAGATGAAACACCTTGTGATTTTTTTCTCTTTAACCAAAATGTACTTGCATCTAACTTTTATATAAAACTGGGCTATAATCATTAATGCACTGAGTGATACGTCCTTCACTTCCTCTTTTACTCTAAAAAGAATTTCTTGATTTTATTTAGATACCACTACAAGCTAATTATGCATGAATTTTAAGGTTTGTCCAGAAGTGTGCATCATTACCCTCATTTGGGCAACGAATTGATTCCATGTCCTCACAGATAAAACCAAAAGAAAAGTCCGTTGAAATAACTAAAACCAGCATTGTGTGTTTGTCTTAGATTAAAGATCTATTGTTTTCCACCATGAAAGGTGGGTGATAATGTAATTGCATATGTCCATGTGTGTTTGCCTTTAAAACTGATTTTAATAAATAAAACTAAACAAAATAATAATTTGATGTACATCTGTAACTAGTAAATTGACTGTACTTGTATAGCGCCTTTCTATCCAACCAGAATACTCAAAGCGCTTTATATCACAATCTGTCTCCTTATTTACCCATTCACACAGCACTCTTCTATATCTCTACAAAGCTAATCCAGACAGATCTTTCTATAGAGACTAATCAGTGTTCAAGTCACATTCAGACACTGATGTGAATTAAGAGCGGGGGAAGTGAACTGCCAACTCTCGCATTGGAGGAAAACTCACSTAACCACTAACCAGCTGCCAGTTAACAGCTGGTTAACTTTGAGYTAACCCAATTCAGCATGGCTGCCTAAGTGAAATGATCTTAAACACACATGGCTATAAAGTCAATTTTACATATACTGAGCTAAAACTTGGTGTGGTGGTAACTGGGATTCATCTTTAACACATACTTCAGCTGATACATTGAAAAAGACCTTTGCTTTAAACTCTGGTATCAGCCAGAGTCAACCAAGTGGATGTGCATCTACATCTACTGCATTTATTTGTGCATAATAAGAACAATTTCACCCCAGATGAATATCCATAAAGTTTGGGAGTCGTATCATACATGGAAGTAAACGATCATTTTTTCCCTAACGTACTACCACAATACATTTCAATATTTTCTTGTAAATAACTGAAATATTGTGTTTCTCCCTCTGTCCTCTCGCTGTAGAATATGTCAAGCATGGCTAAGCATAAAAACTGTTTTTTTTTCTCACAGAGTCAGAGAAGGAACAGCCCCCCCCCCCCCCATTTTTTTAAAATCACAGCGATGAGATGGAAAGAAGATGCAGACTTCAGATGCATGTTTGCGTGCTCAATTGGACCAGAGGAGAAGCTCTCCAAGTTGCCCATCCTGTTATTTAACAAGGGCTTCTGTTGTTGTTACTCTTTATTTTCTTGTCATCTTTGTCTTTACCTACTCTCCACCTCCCCTAATCACTGCTCCCCTCATATCGCTCCCTCCATTTCTTTTCTCCACCACCCACCCCACTCTGTCGCCTCATCCCAGCATTCCTGCTGCTGCTCATATTCACGCCTCTCCCTCTTGTGTACTCTTTCAGCTTGACACTGCGGAGACGGACCACAATGCTGTCTTCAGCTCCTCGCGGGGAATCTCCTTCACCAGATAAGGATTAGGATAATCAGGAAAAAAAAACGAGGGAGAATCGATAAATGCAGACAAAAAAGTGACTCGGAGGTGGGACAAGTCCAGAAAAAAGAAAAAGAAAAAAAACACCTTGAAGGGGAGATTTCTGCAGCTTTCTCCCTCCGTTCTTCATCCCCTCCTTCATTCAGTACCTGTTCTGTGGGATTAACATGACTTAAAATTCAATCAGCCCGCAGCCTGACGGAGGAGCGTCAGCGGAGGCAGACAGAGCGCTGCAGCTGTCGACACCGAGCAAAGGGAGAGTGTGGAGGAGAGGGGGGGGAGGTGGGATAGACGGAGAGAGATAGAGGCAGGGGAAAAAAATAGGGGGGAGAGATGGGTCTTTTTTCTTTTTTCCTAACGCCGAGCTGAGATAGAGAGCGAGCCAGCGGAGACGGAAAGATGCGACTGCTCCGGGAGTTGAGGTGGAATGATCCGGAAAACAAGGTTAGTAATTCCACCTTTTCATCACGGCACGAGGTGGGGGGTAGAAGAGGGAGGGGGAKGGGGGAACACAAGCAGACTTTAATAGCCAGATTGGAAGTAGGAAAGTGAGCAGGAGRAGCAGCAGAGGCAAATAAGAGAAAAATGGATTTTTCTCCAGTTCTGGGMAGGGACACGTATATGCAGCCGCTGTAAGGAGATATACGAACCCTGAAGAGAATACAGAGACAAGAGTGAAGCAAAACGATGAAAATTGGTTTCTTTTTTTAAAGGCGTCTGCTTTTGGGGTTTGATTGACAGGCCACAGGGCGGTTGAGGTGGACTTGGGAACTGTCGGATATACGTGGAGCTGAGTTGTTTTGTTAAGGTGTATGTTGAAAAGAGACGCAGAGGCTGTGTGTGTGTGTGTGTGTGTGTGTGTGTGTGTGTGTGCAGAGTATCACTGCATGACTACTTACTGGATGTGGTGGTGGCAGCAATTGTGGAGATGTGTGAAAGTGTTGCACGATCATTTGGTGTGTGTGTGTGTGCGCGTGTAGCAGCAATAAGCCAATGTAGCCCGCTGAGAAGCGTTAAGAGGGTCTCACAGCTATTGATTCTTTTTGACAGACAGGTGAGAGGGAGCGAGGAGAGGCGGGAGATAAAAATTAAGGGTGGCAAGGTGGAGTTGAGGGATGAGGGAGGGAGGAGGGGGGTGAGGAAGTTGAGGCAAGGAGGATGAGTGAGCAGGTCAGCTGGGTGTTTTATGTGAACGCACACAGTTTTTAATAAATCACGTGTAATCTGCAGTTTGTTAATTTTTTTAAATGCATGTTTCTCATTGTAGGTTTCCCAGGCTTCGTTTGGTTCCTGCTCAGGCGACAAACCTCCATTTACTGCAGTCCAAGGTCATCAAATAACTAACTSAGAGCAGGAGAACAAACGGAGATGGCTGAAGATGCTCTGAGAAGTGGAGGAATGAAAGAGGAAAAAGAAAGAGGGAGGCGATTGAACCTGAAGAGCTCAGATCCAAAATGAGCAGAAGAGCCTCAGGCCAAATATTCTCAGAGATGAGTTCAATACAGTCATGAGGAAATCCTATCAAGATGCCACAAATGGGATTTTAAACCAAGTGGATTCTTGGATTTTTTTTCTTTCTTCAGAGGTTGGAATACTGCGCTGGAATCAAGCGGGTGATTTAGGATTTTCCAGGTTTTCTTCATCTATAAAGAGCCTAAGAGGATATCGTGGGATTGGAATTTCTTCAGCTCTCCAGTTGTCTTACACTGACCTACATCTGTTTTTTTTTTTTTTGGGGTGTGTAGGTGTGTGTGAAATGTGGATGGGAGTGGTCTCAGCTCAGAAAACACAGCTCACTCACCTTCCCTGAGCTGGCCTGACAAACTTAAACACATGAGGGCCAGATCTGGGCCTAAAACACACACACACACACACACACACTGACCTGAACCTGGATAACATGTGGAGCTGATTCGGATTATAGAGGCGCACAGACGGAAAAGGTAAATGTCCGTGGACTTTCAAACGTGTAGCCTGTTATGGTCCAGTAGAGTTGACAGTGTGTGCATGGTTAGCTCTCTTGTGCTGAATCACTGAGTTCATCACTGCGGTGGGCTCAAACACTCACTGAACTGGGGACTCGGAGCTCCGTCTCTCACACAAACACAGTCGCTCTGAATAATGAGCCGATGTGAATTCAGAGCAAATAAAAAAAAGCACACGACACACGCAGAATCTAATCTCCCACACGGCTTAGACGCCCCAGCTTTCATCAGCCCGTTCTGAACCCCGCGCACCCCTTTTCCCTCTACGTGCCGAGGTGGCCTCCGTCTCACTCTGTGTCAGCCAGCTGTCCTGGATCAGATTACTCAATAGGTGCGTCTCAGCTTGGCTTTCATCACTCGGCTTTTATGTAATCTCACCTGGTGTGATGTGTGTTGATGTGGCGGCAGAGAACAGCTCCCTTCATTTGAGGTTCTTTACGTAAGCTGCGTATGAGTGTGCACACAAACAGATTTGGCACACTGACACATGAGATCAGACTGACTGGATAGAGGAGGATAAGAGGGCGATGAGAAAGAAATGGATAGGGAGGATGAGGAGGGAGGGGTGGGAGTAGGAGACCGGGATGGGGACTGAAGACTAAGACGGGGTGGATGAAAGGATTTTAGAGGAAAAGAGTCATGAAGGGAGCGTCATCGTGTGATAAAAGAAATTAAAGGGGGAAAAAGATTAGGGGAAGAGTTGGACGATGAAGGGCTAATGTCAAGAGAGAGATGAAATGGAGAGGAAGATGAGCTCTTGGTGGTTTTGTTGAAAAAGAAGCAATAGGGCTTGAAAAGCAAGACTTTCTGCATAAACAGGCCTTAAAAGAGGCCTTCATGACAACCTGGTTATTCTTTTTTTATTTGGAGGAAACAAAAACAAAGTTAAATAAGGAACAAATAATTAAAAATGACAGATGGTTATCAGTATGTTGCCCCCCCCCACCCCATCACACCACTGGCTACAATTAGTCCAACATGACCTCAAAAAGACAGTTAAAGATAAAGAAGCTATTTWAAGCTACAAGGGGGATTAGGTGTGCCATGAGGCTGCTTCTTCTAAAAGATGTGCCAATTAGGAAATTAAAGAAAAAGTATACGTTGTCATGTTTCCATCCAATTGTAATGCTAATTTTGAGCAAACGTTGTCGCAAAAAACAAAAAAGTTTCCATCTTCTGGTTGAATTTACCAGGCAATGAAAAGTGTAATTTCATCAAACTTTGGTGTTGAGCCTGGCTGTAGTGAACAGGAAGTAGTGTTAGCAAACTCGCAGGGACCAAACATCTAGAGACAATAGAGATGTATGTTTTCAGGAACATGTTGCTATTGGCCAAAAATGTAATTGTTCTGTCATATCAGCTAGTACTGGYAATGCTGTCCGGAGACGTAGAGAAAGAAAATTAAATTCTAGCTGCCAGCAGAAACAGCTGGTCAATCATGTGAGGTAAATGTTCGTTACGTCAGAACTTACTCAGCTAATGTGTTTCCGTATCGCTTTTTGAACATCAATGTTTTTCGGAAAATCCAAAAACCACCCTAAGCAGGCATAAAAACATATTTGCGAAATTTATTTTAGAGATTTCTCATTTTCAACAATTACTGATGCAACGCTTCAGAATGCACATTAAAAAGAAGTTGATGGAAACGTGACTATTGCCTAACAAACAGAAAAATACAGTTTATAATCATTTAAACACATAAAACAGCTTCCTGAATAACATACAGGAGGTTCATCGTTTGCTCACTTGATCGTTTAAGGCAGTTTGATTCTCTTTGAACTGGAGCGGCACCAACTCTGAAGAGGTGATAACAGGGATCTTTTGAAGTGCGACAAAGAGGCCTTTTGATTTCCATTAACCAAATCATAATTCTGTAATTGGCTTTGCTGCTCTGCTAATGAGAATACCAAGAATACAGAGCAGGTAAGTGTCATCCGGTTCAAACAATGAAACTTTAAAAAAAGGGGGCATTAAAAAGATAATTTTCTCAATTATCTCACAAATGCACTGCGTGGCTCATTGTTACTGAGAGTGTCTGTCATTCTGGGACTACAGTAAAGGGAGATGAACAGATGGGATGCCCACTGTTCGAAGCAGGAGCACTGCCAAAGTGAGCAGACYGGTGAGTGAATGGAAGCATGGAGGAAAGAAAGTGGAAGGCATGACAATGGATAATTACTGAAGGAGGAAAAAATCTAGACATAAGTTATTATAGGGGCATGAAAGGTGATCCCAGATAAGGAAACAAACAAACAGCATTGGTAGACCTGATTTAAAGAGATATTCTGGTGATGAAAGAAGTGATGCTTGAACAATTATCTTTTCAGCCATGACGTTGGAAAGGAAGTCCTTTAGGCCAATGGTGGCCAATCCTGGTCCTCAAGGGCCACCAGCCTGCATGTTTTAGTTGTTTCTCTGCTCTGACACCTGATTGAAATGAATGAATGATCAACAAACTTCTGTAGAACTTGAAGAACTGCTGAAGAGCAGAGAAAACTAAAAACATGCAAGATAGGGTTCATCAAGGACCAGGATTAGCCATCACTGCTACAGGCTATGTTTATGTCTAGATGAACCAGGGATTGTTTAGTGTTTTTATTTCTTACACTTATACCTGTGTGAAAGGTGGCAAAATCAACTTTTTTGAGCTTTACATCATGTCATTACCTCATCAAAAACATCCCCAAAGTGTTGCTTTGACTCATTCATGCATGTTTAAGAAATCMTTGAATCTCCTGGTAGCCTTATGGAGCTGCCTAAACGCTTGATACAAAGCTCCGCCTGTTTACCCAAAGCTCCTCCCTTCAGCTGAGCTCCCGCCCTACAGAGCACACCTCCACTGAAGCACTGTTGCTGAAGTGGGAGCGTCAAAAATGGTAGGAAGTTCTTAAAAGGGAAAAGGCCAATTTCAAGGCGTTTATCAAATGCAATGTCAAATTTATTTTTGAAATAGCATTTTCATAACAACAGTTACTTGACCTTTGTATAGAATTGAACTATGTGCCTGAATAATATACACTTTATACCCCATCTATAAAACACTCCTATCTCACATTGAGTTCCTCAGTGTTTAATCTGGTCAGATCAAAAGTTTACTGAGCTTCTGAGGCTGAGGTTTAATATCAGCTAATATTGGGTCTTAAAAACCAGTAGGACATTTGACAAAGAGTAGTTCTTAATGCCTTAAAAAAACTAAAACAAAGCAGCCCTCAGTTTAGCGAACCATCACTCTAGCCTGTTAAAGACTTGATTTTATCTCCATAGTTCCAGMTGACTGATGTCTCAGCTGATAACTCATAATAGCTGTTAGAGAATCACTTCACGCTGCAATCCTGACTGACCAGGACTAAACACACGAGGATGAAAGTATTTGAACATTTTGTATCATTATTGTACTAATGAACAGCTGGAGGAGGAAGAGTGTCTATCTGCCAATCACAAAGTTGGTGGTTTAGTTCAGGCTTCCTCCGCCACATGCCCAAGTGTCCTCAGATAAAACAACAAACCGCCGGTTGGACCTGATTTGTAAATTGGTGTATGAGTGTGTGGGTAAATGAGTAAATGAGACTTGTAGTGGTCACTAGGAAAGTGTAATTTATTTACAATTATAAATCCTTTCACAGCACTTTAAAATGTGAAAATGTTTTATAACAAAGTGAAACTAATTCACAAACAAAACCATTGTCATTTTTTTCATAAAAAAGCATTTATCCTTATTTTTAATACAGACTATTACTAATTTTAATATTATTAGAGATGGAACTAGCATAATGAAAGTATTGTAAAATTAATTTTGATCGAATTTAGATTGTTAATCTTGATAAATTTGCATTTTGAAGAATGTGTTAAAAYGTGCCATTAAAACTAAAATAAGGAGCATTTTTGTAATGTATAACTATTGTCTTTAATATCACTGATATTCTGTAGTTTTAGTATTTTACAACATATATTCACTCCCTCACCAGTTGACACCATCTTCAGCATTGAAATGACTAAACTGCTTGGCTTGCAAAATGTACATAAAAGATGTGATCGTAGGCTCGTTCTACATAAGCTGTGCAGAGGTTGGCATCTTTTTACTGTTGGAAAACTACAACACCTGCTCAGCTGTATAGTAAAAATATATAAAATATATAAGTGGCTAATAGCTTTAGCACAAAAAAACAGCGCTAACAGCATTGAGACAGCTGGGTTTTTATGAGTGGATGGGACACTATAAACTATTTTAACAATGTTTTAAAATTATGAGTATATTACCAGTTCAGCACAATGTCTTTGGTTCTCTTATTGTAAAGGAATCAATGAAAGTTGCCTCAGTTTCTTTGATGTTTTTGGGGCTGTCGAGAAAATAAAGACTGCACGGAAGACTGGTCAAAGCAATGCAGCCTTGTTATTTTAGTGGTTCCATAAAGTATATGTGCACTCATAACCTTAGAGAGTCTGAGCTTCTTGACGAACTAGTAACAAGCTGAACAAAGACAAGTTTCCACAGAACATCAGGCTGAAAGTTGGCCTTSTTTGCATTAGCTGTGCCATCTTGGGCTTCCATCGTGTTGTTTTTTCTTAAAGTTGTCCAGACAGAACTATTTTATAAAGTTTTCCATCAAAATTGTAATAAAAACCTTAAATAAAACCACTGTACAGAATTTGGTCTTCTCTATAAGCTATAAAATGTGATTCTTATTGGATGACAAAAGCTTATTCAGAGTTTTGGTCTTAATGCTCTTTCACTGCCATACTAATAGTTAGACGTTCAAAAATGGTTCCAGGTGACGTGCAACCTCACAGTGATCCAACACTGCAGAGGCCTGTACAGTAAAACAGAGCTGAATCATGTTTATGAGACAGATTTTTGTAAAAAAAATAAATAAAACAAAATAAATGCAGATTAAAAAACTAAATGTGCTCCTCACAGATGCTTGTCCACATGCTCTGTATTTGCAGCTTCCAACACCTTT